TGTCGAGTAGGGAGATAACTAGAGACTTCTGTCGTAAATGGCGCTGCTCCGTTTCGCCAGACTTCACACCGCTGCATCGAAGACTGAATAAAGTAAATTCGGCAAAACCAGCACCAAGATAATGACACCTACTCTCAGTCTGAATAAGTCATCTAAAACACCATCTGCGGCATCTGCAAGTCACGGCATAATCAATTCCGTAGGGAATTCGACTACATTTAATGCTGAGTCCTTTAAACACACCATCTCGCCTGGTATAAACACGCCACTATCGACTCCCCCAGCAACCCCTAGTAAGCCTAAGCATGTGTCTAAGTCAAAGGCAAATCCAATTGCTGTCTCAGTCGCTCGGACACCCAATAAATCCAGCACCATTGTAAAATCTTTTCCTCCACAATCGGCTTACAGTGCCTCAAATACCCCGACTCAAAAAGTACCGGGTTCGCAACTGCCCCCCAGCCCTCATATCGAGGCATTTAGGCCGAATATGCCGATTTTTCCGCCGTTTAATAAAACTCTTGCTCCAATGGAAACAATGCGTCCCCCACCCCCTAACTTGTTTCCTCCACGGCCGTTTTACCAATTTATTCCTCATGATAATGTCCATACTGAATCAGTTAATTCATCCTATCCTCAGTTTCGTTCCGGCGGGAATACGTTGCAGTATCTGGCCCGCGGATTTCCAGCTGAAAATAAGTTAGCTTACAATGGTTACCAGTTCACCTGCCCGTCATTCCCTCCCCCAAGTCCTACCCCTTTTTATCCACGTGAGAAGTTTTCGATGCCACAAAATTTTTTGCAAAACCGGATGGTTGCATTCGGACCGTTTGCTCCGTGGGCAGCCCAGAACTGGACGATGTAGCCCACCTCCCTCAGAAACAAACAGCCTTTCCCTTCAAACTTTTTGCTTTAAATGCCAGATCCTTGCTTAATAAGATGCCTTTGCTTCAGACTCAGGTCTTCGTCCATTGTCCTGATATTGTTTTAGTAACTGAGACGTGGGCATCAGCCTCAGTAGCTGACTCCGAACTCTCTCTTCTAGGCTACAATTGCATTCGAAATGATCGCCAAGATAGCCGTGGTGGGGGCAGCTGCGTCTACGTTAAGCAAACACTTACATGTTTGCCGTTGGACCTCCCGCACTTTTCAGCAGTAGAAGGCAGCTGCTGGCTCCAGGTTGCCCTAAAAAATAATTCTCCTTACTCGTTGGTTGCGTCTATCTTCCTCCCAACGCCAACGAAAATTTTGATCGCTTACTCTCACAGGCATTTCATGCTGCGGCCGACTCAAGCTTTAAGTATCAATTGATTGCGGATGACTTTAATCTTCCCGAAGTCCGCTGGTCTCCGCCTTCAGGCCCAAGAATGTTCGATGACTTTCTTGAGGTTGTGGGTGTTGGGATGTGGAATCAGGTTGTCGATTTTCCTACCCGAGGCTCAGGCATACTTGACCTAATTTTCTGTAGAGGCTGCATGTCATCGTCGGTGTCATCCCTAGGCCCACTGGGGGGCTCAGACCATGACATAGTTGTTTCAACGTTGGAATTCGAGGCTGACAAAACGTCTAGTCAGTTTAAGTCAGTTTATTAAAGGAATGATGCTTTCGCCCTTGAGCTCCCTATTCATATCGATAAACAGAAATAAAGTCATCAATTACATCGGCAAATCGAAAAGTTAAGAAGTTGGCGGTAAGTGTGAGCTATGCACAAACTGCCGCCGCTAAAACAATCATTATTATATGTACAGTAGGTTCTCAACAAATGAGCGTCTAGTCTGCCCTTAAAGGATTTGACACTTTCGGAAAGAACGACGGCATCAGGGAGTCCATTCCATGCCCCGATGACCCTGTGAGTGAAGGCGTTCCGTCGGACGTCCGAATGAGTCCGCCTCCTTTACAGTTTGAAGGGATGACCACGCAGACGGTCAGTCCGGGCCAATTCAAAGAATTCATCAAAGTCTAGGGCACACTCACTGCTTCTGACAATCCTGTAGGTTTGAATGAGATCGCCGCGCAGTTGCCTGTAATTTAGAGGAAACAGATTTAGTTCGGCCAGCCTGGTTTCGTAAGGCAAATGATGAAGATTCTTGTCCATCTTCGTAGCCATCGCCTGTACTCTTTCCAGTCGTTGATAATCTTTCTTCAACCACGGTCGCCAGGCCTGGACCGCATACTCTAAGTGAGACCGGACGAATGCCCCAAGGTTTTGCCGAACAGCTGTTTATCGATCTGCAGAAATCCTCGCCTCAGCGCAAATAACACCCTTATCGCACTTTTGGCTGCCCTTTGACACTGTGATGATGGCTTCAGCGAGGAGGTCATTAGGGCGCCCAGGTCTTTCTGTTCCACAACATTTGAAAGGGACTGACCACCAAGGACGTATTGAAAGGAATCGTCCTCCTTACTGGTCCGTCTGGTGCGGAGTCTCATGACCACACATTTGTCCACATTAAAATTGAGGAGCCAGCGAGCTGACCAACTGTTCAGGCGGTTGAGACTGTCTTGAATCGCGTACCTGTCTGCATCAGATCTGATGGGTCTCCACAGCTTAACATCGTCAGCAAACATCATGGCGCTGCATCCCAGGTCGTCGACGCAGTCGTTAATGTAAACCAGGAATAGCAACGGCCCTAAGACGGAGCCCTGGGGTACACCACTTAGAACGGGAGTAGGAGTTGACCTTGAGGCCTCAGTGCACACGGTTTGCGATCTCCCGGTAAGAAAATCTGTTATCCATGTCAGCAGCGTTCCTCTTATCCCAATTTCAGAAAGTTTGTAGATTAGGCGTTTGTGTGGGACGCTGTCTAACGCCTTCTTAAAGTCTGTGTATATGACATCAACCCTTCCATCCTCGTCCAGTGCGCGAGTCCACTGCTCCGTCGAGAGCAATAAACTGGAAAGACACGAGCGGTTCTGTCTAAAGCCGTGCTGCAGGTCTGAGATTAAATGGCCCTGCTCCAGGAACTCCATAGTTGCTTTCTTAACTATGGCCTCCATTATTTTACAGCAGATGCAGGTTAGACTAGCAGGCCGGTAATTGTTAGCAATAGTACGAGCCCCGCCCTTGTATATCGGAAAGATACTTGCTGTCCTCCATTCTGATGGCAACCTCCCTAATTCGAATGACGTCGTCCCCAAAGTATAGCTTTGTCCGCAATTTCCGATCAACACGCACAACCGAATTATTAACACACCTTAATTCCTACGACTGGACTGATTTCTTACTTAGTTCGGATGCAAATGTTTGCACTGCAAATGTGTACGAAATTTTGTATCCGCTTATTTCTCGTTTTGTCCCCCGTAAGAAAATTATTAATGTTGAGGATGAGGTTTTCCTACCCTTACCCTTTCGTCGCAGATTGCGCAGGCTTTATCGTCGTTTCCATCTTCAGAACGATGTTTCTGTCCTGCCCATGATTCGTGATATTTTTGATCGAGTTAAGAGATTGTCTGAAAAAAAAACAGCTAGCCGAAGAGGTCCAGTTTACCCAAAACCATTCGTTAAATGTCTCGAAACTTTTCTCTAGAAAAATACGAACTCATAGAAAGACGCAGCATCCCATCCTCCGAGACGCCCTCGGAAATCCCATAGTTGATGCACAGTTAACCGCTGATAGCTTCAATGATTTCCTGTCCAAAACGTTCATTGAAGACTCGACCACTCCGCATCCGACCATCCAGCCATTGACTGGGGCAGTTCTAGAAACTATAACTTTCACTCTGTGGGATGTGACTGTTGCGATTCGGCGTTTTCGTCAATCTTATAGTCCAGGCCCTGATGGTGTCCCAGTAAGCATTTTAAAAGCCGATGCAAACACGATCTTCCCATCCCTCTTATTCAAGATATTTAATCTTGCTCTTGAAACTGAAACCTATCCTGCCTTGTGGAAGGAATTACACATTTTGCCTATTCCTAAGCACGGCAAATCTACATCATTTGATGACTTTCGGCCAATAAACACCCTCCCTGCAGTTTCGAAGATCTTAGAGACATTGATCAAAGATAAAATGATGTGTCACTTAACAGTGAATAACCTACTGAGTGCTGCTCAGCATGGATTTCTCAAAGCTCGATCTTGTGACACCTGTCAGCTCTCTTTCTTTGACTATGTTCTCTAATCTAGGGACCATGGTTTTGCACTTTACACTGTGGAAGAGGAGGATGAGGCGATCTCTGGGGAAGAAGGTTTATTTATCTGACGTTTCGTGTTCATTCTCGAGCACATCTTCGGAGATAGGCTGAGCGAGAAATACAGGGTTTAAATAGGCCATCTGCACTCTCACCCGATAGGTTCGTCCCGTTCGCTTCTCGTTGCCCCCCCTCTCGCGCGTAGATAGTGCCTGACGGCCTCGTATGGCGCTGGCAAATCGATACTTCGGTTGATAGAGTTCGTGTCTGATTTCCAGGCCTCAATCACTTCCCTCGCCAGTTTGCTTTCGGCTCGGCCGAGCACCTGGGCGCCGTCAAAGTCGAACTTGTGGTTGTTTTCCAGGCAGTGCATGGCGACATGCGATAGTACGTCCTTTCGCCTTACGGCTAAAGTGTGCTCATGCATGCGCGTTCTTAGGCGTTTGTCGGTCATGCCACAGTAGTTGGCTGGACAGTCCAGACATTTGACGCGGTAAATAACGCCTGACGTGTCTGCAGGTGGTAGCCGGTCCTTGGGCTGCATGATTAAGCGGCGGATGGTGGCCTCCGGTCGGTGACCAACGCCCACGCCTAGCGGCCTTAGTATGCGCTCAGTGGCTTCGGAGACGTTACTCACGTAGGGCAAGACACGGAAGATTTCTGGTCTTTGTTTCTTCTCACCGTCCGTCTTCGTGTGCCTTCGGTACAAGCATTTGTTCACAAAACTGCGTGGATATCCATTGGCAAGGAAGAGGCGCCATAGGGTATTACGCTCCCGCAGCTTCTCGGCTTCTGTGCTGCAGTGTGTGTGGATGCGGCGAAAAAGGGTCCGGACACAACTGCGCTTATGCGACAGGGGGTGATTGCTGTTGTAATGAAGAATTTTCTCCGTGTCTGTCGCCTTTCGAAAGACACCAGTCTGGAGGGTTCCGTCTCCCTGCCTCGATACCTGGACGTCGAGGAAAGGGAGCACTCCGTTATTTTCTTCCTCCATGGTAAATTGGATTTGTGGAAAAACTGAGTCCAATTCTCTTTTAAAGTTGTCTTTCGCGTCTCGGTGTAAGATGACAAAAGTGTCGTCTACGTAGCGCATCCAGAATTTCGGCTTGTATGTCTGGAAGACCCGAGTTTCCAGTTCCTGCAAGACCGCCTCAGCATGACCGACAAACGCCTAAGAACGCGCATGCATGAGCACACTTTAGCCGTAAGGCGAAAGGACGTACTATCGCATGTCGCCATGCACTGCCTGGAAAACAACCACAAGTTCGACTTTGACGGCGCCCAGGTGCTCGGCCGAGCCGAAAGCAAACTGGCGAGGGAAGTGATTGAGGCCTGGAAATCAGACACGAACTCTATCAACCGAAGTATCGATTTGCCAGCGCCATACGAGGCCGTCAGGCACTATCTACGCGCGAGAGGGGGGGCAACGAGAAGCGAACGGGACGAACCTATCGGGTGAGAGTGCAGATGGCCTATTTAAACCCTGTATTTCTCGCTCAGCCTATCTCCGAAGATGTGCTCGAGTATGAACACGAAACGTCAGATAAATAAACCTTCTTCCCCAGAGATCGCCTCATCCTCCTCTTCCATATTAACACCTGGGGTCAGCATTTTTGCCTATATCCACTTTACACTGTATATTTCGATTTCACTAAGGCTTTTGATAGTGTTGACCATGCTCTTCTTCTCTTGAAACTGTCCTCTTTCGGAATAAGTGGCAAACTTTTGAATTTTATATCCTCTTATTTGGGCACTCGCACACAACGAGTTAAGATTTCCAATACTATCTCCAACCCCACACGTGTGAGGAGTGGAGTCATTCAGGGTAGTGTACTCGGCCCGCTTTTATTTTGCCTTTTCGTTAATGATGTACCCGATTTATTTCAGAATGGTAAGCCTTTCATGTATGCCGATGATCTTAAAGTTGCATATCGATATAGGCCGGCAGATCATGACATCGTGCTTGAGCTCCTAAAGAGCGATCTACAGGCTTTCGTCCAGTGGTGCCGCACATGGCGCCTTTCTCTTTCTTGGCATAAGTACTCAGTCATGGTGGTTGACGACGACCGCCAACCTCAACTAAGTATTGAAGGTCACGCAATAAATGTGCCAGGGGTTATAAAGGATTTGGGCGTATCATACTCCAAGAGTCTTAATCTCTCGGAGCACTGTGCCTTGATAGTCCGCAAAGCACGCAGAACGACCGAGTTTATCCTCCGAACTTTAAAACTAGGGACATTAGAATGCGCCTTTTCGACATGTACGTTAGACCTGGTCTGGAATACTGTTCGTTTTTATTTAGCCTCATGCGTGCTTCTGAGCGGAAGAAAATAGAATCCGTTTAACACTTTTTTACCAAGAGAATTTTAACCCCAGAACACCGACATTTGTCTTACCAAGAACGTTGCCGGCTTACAGGCCTCGATCCTTTAGGGTTGCGTAGATTACAAAAGGGACTATTTTTGCTATTTAAACTCTTATATAATCACACATCTAACCCACTCACCTCTTTAAGACATCATATCCACCCACGACGTAACAGTCACCGTGAGGTCTCCTTATTTCTGCCTCTGGCACGTACTGTTAAATATTGTCGGTTCTATTCTGTAAATGCAATTGCTATTTGGAATAAACTACCCATGAGTGCGAAAACTTTGCAAAATTATCCTTTATTTAAGAGAACTATTACTCAATTTTTGCATTCAGAAAAGCTCCCACAAATTTTGGGTGCTGAATCTACTGATCGACTGTACCGTAGCGATGGCGTTTGTGGTCTCTGAACACTATGGCTGGTCTCACCAGCTGTTCCTCAACGCCTCTACTTTGACTATCCCCAACTTCATGAAAGGAATTGACGTCCGAGGATCTCCGATACCGTGCAACCCCCTCCCCCCCTTCTTGACGGTCGAAAATATACCGCCAGCAGTTTTTTTTCTCCTGAACCCTTCAAACCATAAAAAGCATCATCAACTATAATTTTTATTCTTCAGGAGTTTTTTTTTCACTGCTGGTCGGATTTGTGTTTAATCGTTTCCCTTGACAATGCCTGTAAACAGGCATTTAATAAATTAAATTAACTTTAATTTAATTTAATACCCCGCGAACTCATAGGTTTAGTCTTCCAGGACACCCTAACAGAGTTGTTCAACAATGGGGTCGGTAAAAATATCGACATATGTGTGTCTAAAATGCCATAGACAGAGCTTGGAACGCGTTACCTGAAAAGTTCGTCGTAGCGCTAAATGGGGTTTCTTTAGGGGCGCCTGTTTCGCTGTTCGGAGTTAGGGCGGAACACAGTAGTTTAGAATGGCATAGAGCAAGGTAATATACGCCTTAGACTTCTGCAGTCTACTTGTCCGCCATTACCTCGGTAGCGTGTAAATGCTAGGTGCCGCACATATGGTGAGAGTTCGACCGTCGTAAACGACGACGTCCATGGTTAGAGCAGTACCAGTTAGCTGTATCTGAACAGGTCTTGGGTAAGCGGACTTCGGCAGAATACGCCGCATTCTCTCCTGTCTCATCCGTCAGACTTCGAGGGCAAGAAACTGTCATCGCGACCGAAGATAGGCTCGGGCGCAAAGCCAAACGACCTATATACGCGCGCCACACAGATCTGGTCCACCAGAACGCGCTAGAATTTTACAGAAAGGTATTTCGTACCTCACGTCCATGAGAATGCTATAAAGACTACATTAAGAAGGAATAAATTGTCCTGACTCCCAGTTGTCAAGCCAGTCGCCCCACGAAAACATGTAGTGCTAGTCAGGAAACCGATTTATCCAGAAAGATGGCAGCTTTCCAAGCCACGAATTGAAACGTATGGCGATAGTTTCAAAGTGTGTCAAATTCATTACGACAAAGAATGCGTTGATGTGCCATGGAGGTGGGTTCGTCGGAGTCAACCTCACTCTCTTTTCTTCATCCGTGCACTAGTTGGCTGTCCGAGTTTTTCCGTCATCCAGTGCCGAAGTTGGACACAATGGCTGACAGAAATGCAACAGCCAATCTACGTGTGCCACACAAGATCTGATCGGACGCCAGGATGCGCCGAAGAACAGGCCTTTAATTGATTGTAGAAGTTGGTTTCTGTTTGTGTGTCGGGTGATATTAGTTGCAGACAATCCGAGGAGCAACCGATCGGAACGGAGGACGGCGCTAGTGGCCCGGGAACTGGCCCGCTACAAGGTGGGCATCGTCGCACTCAGCGAGACCCGATTCTCCGGCCAAGGCCAACTGGAGGAGGTAGGTGCAGATTACGCCTTCTTCTGGAGTGGTCGACCCAGGGCAGAGCTACGAGCGCGAGTGTCGTCTTCGCCATCCGGAACGACATCGTGGGACGACTGCCTTGTTTGCCGCAGGGCATCAACAATCGCCCGATGAGCCTCCGTCTGCCTCTCCGGCGGGGGGGGGGGGACAATTCGCCACCATAATTAGCGCCTACGCTCCCTCGTTGAGCAGCCCCGACGCCGCCTCAAGAGACAAATTCTACGAGGACCTGCACGCCCTCTTGGCGACTGTGTCGAAGGCGGACAAGTTGATTGTCCTTGGTGGTTTCAACGCCCACGTCGGCACAGACCATACTGCCTGGAGAGGAGTGCTGGATCCCCACGGTCTCCGCGGCTCAAACAAAAACGGACTGCTGCTCCTCCACACCAGCGCAGAACACCGCCTCATCCTGACGAACATCTTCTTCTGTCTGCCGGAGCGAGAGAAGACCACCTGGAGGCATCCTCGGTCGCGTCAGTGGCACCTGCTGGACTATGTCCTCGTCCGGAGGCGAGATCAGCGGGACGTGCTGGTGACGAAGGCGATCGCGGGTACTGACGGGTGGACCGACCATCGCCTCGTCATCCCGAAGATGCGTATTCGCCTACAGCCTCGCAGGAGACCACAAGGTAAGCGACCCCCAGGTAAGCTAAATGTTGCTTTGTTGTCTTTGCCCGCTCACCATCTGCATTTCAGCAATGAGCTAGACAACCTTTCCATCGCGGCCGTAGCCGCCGCTGCCGAGAACGCCTCCGTGGAGAACCGCTGGTGTCAACTGCGAGACACGGTCCAGTCGACGGCGCTCGTCGTCCTTGGTCGCGCTCCCCGTCAACACCAGGACTGGTTCGACGACAACGACGCCGCCATCAGCAATCTGCTTGCCGAGAAGAACCGCCTACACAAAGCCTACGTAGATCTACCCACTGAGGACAACAAAGCTGCCTTCTACCGCAGTCGCCGACAGCTTCAGCAACGACTGCGCGAGATGCAGGACGCCTGGACTGCTCGCAAAGCTGAGGAGATCCAAGGCTACGCGGACCGCAACGAATGGAAGAACTTCTTCTCCGCGATCAAAGCTGTCTACGGTCCGCCGACGAAGGGCACCGCTCCTCTCCTCAGCGCCGACGGTGGCACTCTCCTGACTGAGAAGACGCAAATCCTACAGCGATGAGCTGAGCATTTCCGAGGCGTCCTCAATCACCCCTCTGCCATCTCCGACGCCGCCATCGCCCGCTTGCCGCAAGTGGAGACCAAAGTGGACCTCGACCACCCGCCATCTCTCCAGGAGACCATCAGGGCCGTGCAGCAACTCTCCAGCAGGAAAGCACCCGGATCGGACACAATCCTTGCTGACGTCTACAAGCACGGCTGTCCACAACCCATGGACCACCTGACTGCGCTCTTTCAGGAGATGTGGCGTCAAGGGAAAGTCCCGCAATATTTTAAGGACGCAACAATCGTGCACCTATACAAGCGAAAAGGGAACCGCCAAGTCTGCAACAATCACCTTGGCATCTCCTTGCCGTACATCGTCGGGAAGATCTTCGTTCGCATCCTGCTCAACCGCCTAAATAAACATCAGGAACAGTGCCTTCTACCGGAAAGCCAGTCGTCGTTATCGCGGGACCACGGATATGATCTTCGCAGCCCGTCAACTTCAGGAGAATTGCAAAGAGATGCGGACCAGCCTGTACTCTACCTTCGTGGACCTGACGAAAGCCTTCGACACGGTGAATCGTGAAGGACTGTGGAAGATTATGCAGAAATTCGGCTGTCCGGAGCGATTCACTCAGATGATGCGTCAGCTGCACGACGGTATGATGGCGTGAGTCACGGACAACGGAGCTGTCTCAGAGGCATTTGCCGTGACCAACGGAGTGATGCAGGGATGCGTGCTGGCGCCTACCCTCTTCAGTCTTATGTTCTCTGCCATGCTGATTGACGCATAACGCGACGAACGCCCAAGGATCCGCATCGCCTACTGGACGGACTGTCACCTCCTTAATCAATGGCGGTGCACTTCCAATCGCGCGTATCCACAACCACCGCTCACGAACTTCTCTTCGCCGACGACTGCGCCCTGAACACCACCTCGGAAGAGGAGATGCAACGGAGCATGGACCTGTCCTCCGTCGCCTGCGAGAACTTCGGTCTGCTCATTAACACGCAGAAGACGGTGGTGATGCATCAACCGCCACCCAAGTCCGCCGCAGCCCCCAACGCGTCGCCGCAAATCAGCGTGAACGGAACCCATCTGCAAGTGGTGGAGAACTTCCCGCAACACCAAGATTGATGACGAAGTCGCCAACAGGATCTCGAAAGCCAGTCGAGCCTTCGGTCGTCTCCAAAGCACAGTTTGGAATCGTCATGATCTTCAACTGGGCACGAAGCTGAAGATGTACAGGGCCGTCATCCTGTCGACGCTACTGTACGGAGCGGAGACCTGGACAGTGTACGCAAAGCAGGCACGCCGTTTGAACCACTTCCACCTCAGTTGTCTTCGTCGCATCCTGAGGCTGAACTGGCAGGATCGAATCCCCGACACTGATGTGTTGGAACGGACGGGAATCGTCAGCATCTACACCATGCTGAGAAAAATGCAGCTGCGTTGGAGCGGCCCCCTGGTGCGCATGGACGACGAGCAACTACCCAAACGACTCTTCTACGGAGACGTCGCGACGGGTTCTCGCCGTCAAGGAGGCCAGATTCGCCGTTACAAGGATACTCTGAAGTCCTCCCTGAAGCGTCTGCAAATCAACCCGACCAACTGGGAAAAGCTCGCACTCGGCCGACCGACCTGGAGGAGGACAGTGAAGACAGGCGCTGCGATCTACGACGCCAATCGCATCGCTGCCGCCAAAGTGAAACACGAAGCCCGCAAATCACAACTTCACCCATTACGCAACGCACCCGCACAACCGCTCCCAACGTGTCCTTGATGTCAACGGACATTCCGGGCTCGAATCGGACTTGTTGGACATCTTCGGATCAACTGCGCCTCTCGACCAGCATCAACCATCGTCCCCCCGCCCGCCTCTTCCTCCTCCTCTCTGCCGCCAACTAACTCTGACGATTCTTCTGAACCACCACTCCCACCCTCCTTCTCCTCCTCCTCCACCACCTCCTCCTCCCACTCCTCCTCCTCCTCCACTGCTCCAACGACGGCCGCTCAGGCGACTGTCACGCGCGCAAATACCGACACCACCACCACCTCCACCGACTCCAGCGATGAAGATCAGGACTACACCTGCCCTCACTGCGACCGCACCTTCACCTCACACATCGGCCTGGTCGGTCACTTGCGAATCCATCGCACAGAGCCTGGCGAACCAGTACCTGGAGCACCAACCTACACCCACCGCACTCGCCTCCACAGCCCACACTGCCCTCGCACCTTCAGACATCGCATGGGTCTTTTCGGCCACATGCGCATCCACGAGATCGGAACTGACCGCAGTACCGACTCATCCATCATGCCCATCCCCACACCTACTTCATCAACCTGCGCACCCACCGCACTCCCCGCAATTAAAACCGACACCATCGACATCCCCTGCCCACACTGTCTACGCACATTCATCTCTCGCATCGGTCTGGTCGGTCACTTGCGAATCCATCACACAAAAACCGAAGGACCAGTGCCTGGAGCACCAACCTATACCCACCAAACTCGACTCAACTGATCATACTGTCTTTGCACATTCAAGCGTCGCATGGGCATTTTCGGCCACATGCGCATTCACGAGAGCGGAACTGACCGCAATCCCGACACACCTATCACACCCAACACCACCACCATGCAAAACACTACCCTCGCTTCGTCACCCTACGCGCCGGTCAGCACCATCACCGCCTCCTCTGTAGCTGACACTAACACCACGTATTTCACCTCCCCACACTGCCCACGCACATTCACCTCACGCATTGGCTTGGTCGGTCAGTTGCGAATTCATTGCGCAGAGACTGGCGAACCAGTGCCTGGGGCACCAACCTATACCCACCACGCTCGTCTCAACTGTTCATATTGCACTCGCACTTTCAGGCATCGCATGCGCCTATTCGGCCACATGCGCATCCACGAGAATGGAACTGACCGCAAACCCGACACACACACCACATCCAACACATCCACCACGCCTAGCCCTACCGTCGCTTCACCGCCCTGCGCGCCGATCACCAACACCACCGCCGGCTTCTCATGCCCACACTGTCCACGCGCATCTATTCACCGCATGAGTCCATTAAGCCACATGCGCGTCTACGAAAACCCGAGGCAGACATCCGCCGGCTGCGCCACACCATCATCGCATATCAACACCATCCACCTCGAGCACCCAAATTTCACCTCATGCGCAAGTAGGAAGTGTCTCCATGTGCCCCCCCCCCAGTTGCATGTGTGACTCGAGTCTGAGACTATCACGGCACATCAAGCGCTGTGGCTTAGACGGCGGCTGAATGACGCCCAACTCAGTCCAAGCAGTCTGCCCAGTTTTGCGTGGTATATGGTGGGCTGAGAAGCAGGCTGAACCAGCTCCTTCTAAACGTGAACAACAGCACGCATGTGAGACGCATGCCGCTCAACCCCCGTTGTGTGAGATCCTGGGGCTCATGTTTTGGGGGCCAGATCGTGCATGTGGCGCGCGCAGACAAGGTCATTAGATATGTCAGCCACCGTGCCCATTCCCCGAATCAGTCAACTGACCGGCTCGGACAGTGGCTGGGGTGTGGGAATGGGAGGGGAGAATGAGGTCGACAACTCAGCGCATTTTCCTTACAACAAACAATCTAACGTGCTTCAAGCTCTCACGGTGCGCTAGAAGCCGTGGCGTGGATGGTTGCCAACTGACGGAACAACTTAGACCTCGCATTTGGCCCAATGTTGTGTGTTTGCGTGAAGTGGTTGGCTGGTGGTCTGAGAGTCACGCTGCAATGGCTGCTTCCTAATGTGGCCTCTATGGCACTCCCACTCCGTGGGCTCCGAGCCAGGCGTCGGCGGCACGCCCGGGTGCGACTTCGGTCGTGCCAGCCTCCATTCTCTTTGTTGCTTTTGGTCAAAATCCTGGTCCTTTGTTGTTTGAAACAGGGGGTGCGGAGTGGAGCGCCAAGGTGAAGATCCGTCAGAGCCATCCACCCGTATCCTCCTCCGCCTCCGGTTTTCTTTACTCTGTCTTGACACCGGACTCAGACGGGGGAGGAGGAGAGAGTGTAGGTAGATGCAGAGCAAGTCTACTGGCAATATAAACCCCTGCGCAAGTCACCGTCCCTGCCCTCACCCTGCTGTGAGCATCCCCGGATGCGACGGTCGAACTATCTTGTGTGTGCGTGAGTGAGTGCGGGTAGGACGGGGTGCTGTAATGGGCCAGATCTGTATTGTTCTACTACGGGTTTTCACGAAGGTGCATGTGATTAAATAGGTTCAAGCGGTTGCGCAGGATAGGTGGTAGACAGCAGGCGACGGGTTATCACCGAGGTCTGATCCGTGAATAAGCCTAGTAACTGGGATGATGGGATGAAACAGGTCAGTGCATGTCAAACACGACAAATGACAATCACCATGGTATATCAGTCAGAGATATGAGATAGCGTGGTCAAGGTTTTGGAGGATGAAGAGTAGGGAAACAACCATTTAGGGCACGTGGTGCAAGGCGTACCACGTGGCCAAGCTGTTTACACAACCCCTAGTTTCCTTCTTGTTGCAGCGGTCTAAAGTTGACATACGGGAGGGGGTCGGCCTTGCGCGATAGACTGCCTTGGACGCCAACGGTGGATCTGCAGCCTGGCCGATTCCCCAGTACTTTACTATACAGGCGCTGTCAAATGCAAACGCCAAACGTAATTAGACGTCGCGGACATATTCGATGGACTGGTATGATTGCTTCTGGGTTCCGAAACGTACGGTCACCCGCGTTGCATGCCACGGTACCTTCACCTGACTGCACTACAGACCCTATCGCCTATTGGCCTGCGAGGCGGGTGCGGACAAAGATATGGACAAAGATATTATAGTGCTGCCGGCCGACAAAGGAAGAGAAACAGTTGTGATGAACCGCGTTGATTACAACGAGAAGGCACAAGCTCTCCTGGACGACCAACAATCCTACAGGTCCGCACCCGCCTCGCAGGCCAAATCGATGATTGGCCAGCTGACTGGACTCTTAAGCCGACTCCGGCGTAACAATGTAATCTCGCCAGACGAATGACGCCAGATAAAACCAACCGACACGGCGTTGGCCAGGTTCTACGGACTACCAAAAATACACAAACCCAACGTTCCTCTGCGGCCAATCGTGGCCCTGAAAGGCAGCCCCACATACAATTTAGCCAAATGGATGTCCCGAAAGCTCAATTTTCTCCGAGAGGGCTCTGTGACGTCCGTCAATTCGGCCTCCCAATTCCTTGCCGACATTCGGGGAAAAACTATTCAACCCGACCAAATCATGGTATCCCTCGACGTTGTCTCACTTTTCACGTCCATCCCACCAGACTTGGCGCGCGACGTGCTACGCAAACGCCTCGAAGAAAAGTACAACGAAACGACAGGGCCGCTAAAGATCCAGCACCTAATGCAGCTCTTTGCATTCTGCCAACGAACCTTTTTCACCTTCGATGGCAGAACATACTAACCAATCAAAGGAACACCCATGGGTTCCCCAATATCCAGCCTAGTTGCGGAGTTGGTCCTACAAGAGCCGGAAAAGGTTGCTTTCAGCCATTACAAACCTGCGTTTTGGCGCCGATACGTGGACGATACATTCGTCATTATTGAAAAGGACAAGCTATCGGGTTTTCAAGACCTACTTAACAGCATATTCCCCGACATTCAGTTTACAAGAGAAGACGAGGAGGACGAAAAACTACCCTTCCTGGACGTGCTCGTCACGCGCACACCTGACGGTGAACTCAGCACTACAGTGTATAGGAAGGCGACCAATACAACCCAGGTCCTCAACTATCATAGCAACCACCCATTGGTGCACAAACGGGGCTGCGTGATGGCGCTTTTCGACCGGGTAAAAACGCACTGTAGCGAGCCCGAAGGAAGGATGCAAGAACTACGGCATCTCCGGGACCAATTAACAAAGAACGGCTACCCAAATAGCTTTATCAGTAGCTGCATACGCGCACACCCACGCCGGACAAACGGAAGAGAGACACCAACAATTTGGCACTCCCTACCGTACATAAAGAATGTGTCCGAAGCTACAGAACGCATTGCGTCAGAGCTAGGCGTGGGCATCGCTCATCATCCGGCGGCCACCATGCGTAGCAGGATCATGAAAATGAAGGATCGGCTGGACGCAGGTGAACAGTCGGGCGTAGTCTATCGAATCCCGTGCCAAAACTGTCCTTGCCACTACACAGGCCAGACAGGACGACGTCTGAGCTCACGAATACTTGAGCACAAACGGGCCGTTCGGAGAGGCGACCCACTGTCTCAAGTAGCCGCTCACACGCTCGAGGAAGGGCATGAGTTCGACTTCGCCAACACGCGGATATTGGCGCGAGCCGGCAACAAGACAGAGCGAGAGCTGTTGGAGGCGTGGGTGTCGGACACCAACTCCATCAACAGACACATCGATTTGCCTGCGTGTTATCACGCGCTCCGCCCACGCAGCCAGGTAGCGCAGCTCACACCGTCGCGAAGTGCAAATGGCGTCACCACGCCGGGGGAACATCGTGGACCAGGCGGCACAAACCCTACCTAGCCACGGACGTACTCCCCCCCCCCGCAAGGATGAACGATATAAATGTTCACAATTTGCTGCACTCGAGTAACCTCTGATGATGAACTCTAGTTCGAGTTCGAAAGCTCAGGCAAATAAACTTACTGTCCCAGTGATCGTGCCTTCGCCTTCTTTTAAACAAGAACCTGGGATGCGTATATTCTCTTCCATTCATGTATGATGTTGAACACAAGCGCCCTTTGTGTCCCTCTCTGTCTTGGTCCCGATATTCGCCTACATACTACCACCCAGAATACTGCAGCATAAACAGCAATTCTAGACACACTGGCGCGGCCCCGCTCGAGGGCTTACGATACCTCTGGGTATCCAGTTGTCGCTAAGGCGTCCCAAGTCTAATAATCCTTACCAGAAAAAAAACGCATCCCAAACCCCAGCTCCGGCAGTGTTTCCACCAGCTCAGGTCGCAGAGGAAGTGGCTACTCGCGACACAAGAGGGCGAGTTCGCTTTGCGATCGATGACAGCCACCACTCAGCCTCTGCCAGTCAAATCAGCCGCTTGGCAGTTGAGTGAAATCACCCTCCATCTTCTCTTTCCCTTCCAGACACAATCAATCTTTCAGTTGACGAACAGGCAAACCAAGCCAGTTCGCTTACCTTCGAGGCGTCCCTGGCTCCCGTATGGACACAATGGGTGGAGAATTCAATACGAAACCCGGATCCACGCACACTGCTATTAAGTACATCGCCTCGCCGTCCAATAAAATGGCACTACTGGACCTCTCCCACCGCGCATATGGTTTCCGACTAAACGGCAACAAGAAGCTCACAATGCAACTTTTTATTAGTGTTTAGAAGGGGCAGAAGATAGTAAGCGGAATAATAAAACTAGAGTGCACCAGTGACAAACGATGGGGAAGAATTCCTAGGTCACAGTGCACAGGGCTGCTTTTATTGCTAAGGGACTGTGGAGATGGACGGTGGTGGCTCTTTAATGACCAGGAGGAGGAGGAAGTCTAAAAGAGAAACCGACTGGACATGACTGAGCAAAAGCAGCAAGAAAATATACCCAACCAATGCAACACCCAACACTACCGAGTCAGAAGAATTCGGCCAATCAAACGAAGGGACTCACATAAAAATGCGCAAGTGCGCCAGACACCGTTGTGCTGCAGCCTCAATTTCACATCTTCAATTCTTTAGGTAGTTTAACATGGCCGGTATACTTGCGTAGGACGGAAACTGCGGAGTCGGCCTCCTTGTCATCATCGCTAGGCTTCGCCTGTTGAGCACCGATTGGCCCGTGCTCTCGCTCCCACAACATTCTGTGCTTCTGCTTCATAAAGGCGTCTCGAACATCGGTCCAGAAATGGAGTTCGCCATCTGTGCAACGTCGGAGAAATTCTACAGTTAGGGTTGCATGGTCGCGGACGATAAGCGTAATAGCAGACTGAGTACATAAGACATGCCTTAAAACCACAACACATCGGGTTCGTTGTGGCCGACCAAGCTGTACGACCTCATGCCACCGCGGCCACTTCAATTGGTTCAGGTATGATTTCACAGAAGTAGAATTAGTTCGTGTGAATTGCGCGGCAATGGCACCTATGGCGTCTTTCAGGATTGTGTTTTTTGTCCACTCCAGCTACGCGACAGACTGGGCCTTTTGGCATGTGCTAACAGGTTACTCCAGTGATACATTAGGTCACGGCCTGCGTATTCTAAACTACACTGATAATGTTGACACACCGGGGGGTTGCTTTACAAAAATGCAGCCTGTTGTTCCAGATGGTCGCGAAGGCGGCTGAAATGGGCCTGAAGATTACCTCCTAGGGTTTAGCGGTTGGATGTATACTTCCGCTCATTGTAGATGGTTGAATTCTCAGAACAACCTCTGTAATTTTGGGTTGCATTGTCTGCAAAAGGGAAGGGGTAACAGTGAGATTCAGTCTCAGATCAGAGACGAGTACAGCTTTCATCTGAAATCGTCCTAAGATCGATAACGGGCATTAGATCAACCAAAATACCAAGCCGTGGGAACGCGGGACCTCCGTTATAACAATCCTCCTAGAAAGATGTGACGTAGGGTCCATGCGCTCGGACAAACGACTGTGCTTGCGACTCCCTTCTCTGAATTTGTCATTGTCCCTCTCCTCCCCAAAAACAGGCCACGCCGTAGATGTGCTGGACCAACACGGGGGCCCCAGTGGGTTCTAGCAGGCATTATCGGAATGCACACCATAACCAATGCCAACATTCGGGGTGCGGTGGCAGGTCCCGTCGCCGGTCCACGTCGCGCAAACGGTTAACATCGTCGGGCACGACGGTCGAACTGTCGAATTCTTACGCGTTTTCAATCCAAAAATGCGTAAACTGGGCCAGGAACACTGCCTGTTAACTGCGCCTTTCTCACTCGTCGACCATGATAGCTCAGTCACGCGCTGAAACCAACATTACCCGAGATGTAACCTCCCCTGAACCTGATCCTGGCCGGTCAGACCATAATGTTGGCTAACTGAAGACATGGCTGACTTCGAGCGCATCTTCAGCTTTGCTGTCTGCGGTCTATGTGGCTAGTGTGTCAAGAGGCTTAGCTACGCCCGGAAGTCTGCTACTGACCGACTGTGATGGAAGGGAATCATCGTGACGCAGTGAAACTAGGAAATTAAACTGGCAAGATCAGTTGGGAGGTAGATTACCGCAAGTATATAATGCAAACGACCACCAAATGAAAAGGTATCATAGTAATGAAATTCCGAGCAAGACCATGTTTTCCGGTAGGGAAAGTCCCGAAATTTGCCCCTCCCTTGACAATAGCGGTGGTAATGAGATCGAGTCTCCGCATGGCTAGGAAAATGTGTCTCGGTATCTTTGTCAGCAATGAAAATGAAGGCGCACATCAAAAGGAAAGGAGTGCGGAAAACGTTACTTTCAAATTGGATCGGTAGATAAATGGAAGAAGGAGCAGCTAAAATGTCTCCCGGACGTAGCCCAGGAGGCTAACACTGCTTTGTCGTCCAGACATATAACCAGTATTTTCCTCGCTACATAAGGAATCCAAGGTTGCTAAGTGCGTCGTCGTACTTCCGTCGAATCAACAGGACTTTAATGCACGTTTGGAGTTCTGTGCAGGTAAGCGTCCAGCAGCCATACAGTATATGAATTCCCCGATATTAGACACGACGCAATCTACGGAAGACAGATCTCCGTTTAATCTCTGACTGTCATAGAGCGTGAGATTTCACTAGGGGGCGAGTTACAAAGAGTTCCGTCAAAGGGATGAAAGCGAATTTTAGGTTCTCTTCTCCAAGTCAAGTTACACAGACGGCTAGTAAATCAGTGGGATTCTAAGGAAGGCCACAACATGGCTGCCAAAACGAAACGACGACCTTTTATTTACGGCATCAAGATCGGACGTTTGATTTTAAAAAGTTAAGTTATTCTGTCGGAACGGTCAAGTGAGGGTGAAGTCGGACCGAAACATCACTGACGGTCTGAAGACCCTCACACAGACCGCTGAAACTAGGCCTCAAAAAGACGGCTTCTTTTGCCAACGCAAAAATGAGACCAAAAGGTGATGACAAAGACTGCCCTAAGACACTCAAAGACCGTCAGTAGATAAGTTCCTGATGCAAATGGAGAAGACGGGGGACAACCCGATCAGAGCCGGGGGAGGGTGTGAATTCTCCAAGCGTCTTCGCAACTTCGACGAACAACCTGCCACCACCTTTTTCCCGGAACAAAATTTCGCCCCTCTCCAGCTTATACAGTGTTGCGCGGTCCTCTTTTCTCAGGGAAGGCCGCTGCAATGTCGAGGCTGCGCAACAATGGAACGAAAACAGTGGATGGCATCGCCGTTTACGTCTATACGTCTTGTTCCGATAATGGTGTCCAAGGTTCATGAGGCGATTGAATAGATATTGAAGATTAAATCATTTCTTACGACTCACGTTCAACCATCCTCGCACTTATCGTCAATAATGTGAGTAGGAAGAAGGGGGATAACTACTGTAGCACAAGTGTAATTGATGCTACTAGAAACGGCACTGTCATTGTCACTCTCGGGTGATTTCAAAATATGCGTGATTTGAGACCGAGACACAGCCCAGACGGGTATTGAACAGGACTTTAGTTCACCGACAAAACAGATACGCTACGGCGGATCCTCGAAACTCGCCTTGGCTGCAGGCAACCAAAGACAGCCTATTCCACGGACTTTTCTGCGCGTTCGCTTCCGTTCATCTGCTACCGGAAAAAAAATCATTGCTGTGGTCAGGAACCACTCGATGAATCACCGTTGGACATTCCACTGGGTGTTAGGCAAAGTTGTATTCAGTAGTCTGTCTCGTCTAATTACGCTTTCGTCTGCATTAGCTAAATTCTACGGGGTTGGTCGGCCAATCTCAACTAAGCTGATGATGTTGCCCGGCTAGAGCCAAATCAGAATGATCTACAGAATGTACTGTCGGTGTTTAATGGGGTCGGATTACCCACAAGGACTGGTAAAACCGGTGTCTTCTTGCTGACTGGTAAAACCAGTGCCTCCTGGCTGCATCTCTGAGAGAGGGTGTGCTAGGGATTAATGACTGTCGGCTAGTTACAAATACAAAGTACATGCCCGCCCACTGCCCTAAAAGTATACACAATGCAGTTATCCAAAGGCAGCTTGATCCATGAACAGAGGTCGTAAAACTAGACAAGACAGAGCCGAAATATAAGTAGGCTAATCAGTCAATAAGAGCTATAAGTGAGGCCTACTAGCATACTTAGGGATGCAGAACAAGCTACACATACTAGGAAAACTCCGCGACGTAGGATTTAGAAACTAGCTAGGTGACGCCGTACTTCCCGAAAACAGTTACTTGAGAAAAACAAACGGCATAATTCGTGGCGAATATACTTATCTTTAATGCAAAGCGTAAGCAGTTTTAAAAAAGCAAAAGTGTCTCAGCATTAAAATAATACATCCACTTACACTTAATAAAGTAGTTCGTCGTCGCCTCTTCGTGTTCATCGATGTATTTTTTACAAAAACGTTGCATATCTTCGTAATCCCTGTCATACCACCTTTTGCAAGCATCGCGCCTCTCTTTAAGAAGACGAACGATGTTCACATCAACAAGCCTACATTCACGGAGGTTGAATAAAATAAAGCTAGTAGAAATGTAAGCGGCTAACATGGTACATGTGTTCATGAAAAGCATGCAGTTCATCGTGGATAAAAAGGTTATGGGGAAACAGAAGTGACTTGACGGAACCGCAATCTAAAGCTACATACAAAGCTGGCTTTAGGAATTATTAATAGATGTACATCCCACCATCAAACTTAAAATCTACCCGTGTCAGGACAGTGTACTGAGTAGATGCAAGCTGCACATCATACTGCGAAAAAAAGTAAATTGGAAGGAAAGCGATATGGGATATAAGAAATGATAACAGACCGATCACGATGAAACTGTTCATTCGCCTCGACTACGCAAACTTCGTCACCAACCGGGCATTTATCGATGTCAGGAACTCTCGCAAAACGTTGATGATAATAAGGAACCGGTTTCCTTTGAACTTTTTCAACAAAGTACTCTGTGAAACGGTGAAACAATACGAAGGAGTACATACCCCGGAAGAGCGTCACTGGTTTGTCAATGAGACCGCCCAGAAAAGGAAGGACGTATTTGGTGTGCCATGGTTCCCTGAAAGGCCGAAAAAGGTCTTCCCTTGTTATCTCAAAGGAGTGATGATCGTGCGCTTCACCGTGGTCACCCATTCGCAAGACAGTCGAAAGCGCTCAGCGATTGGCGCGACTAGACACGCAGCCGGACAACCAAAACCCACCAACCAAACGAAGTGGTAAAACGTCGCGGATTTCAGTTTCAGTTTATTTCAGGGAAGGTATGTACATTTGAAATCCCTATTGGTTACATGCAGAGGAAGTATATGGCGAAAATGGAAAGGAAGTGACATGAAAGAAATACTAGGAGAATAACATAAACTATACAGATGAACACGGAAATTCATGCCTTAACGGTATTTAAGGGCATACGAACTCGGTTTGTTGATTAAATATAGCAGATAGCTGAATCACATCTTAGATAAAAGAAAATTAGTAAATTTTTGCAGTCTTCAAGCATCTTTGTAAATGCGAGTAGCAGTGTGCGCCATGATCCGTAAATTAATAATTTACATAAATTGATGGTGCTTAAATACTGGCAGTAGCATCGTAATAGCACTGTATTGTCAACGTTGGTGATCAGGATGGCTGTAGTCCGGCGTTATTGTGGTGTGCATTTCAATGTTGATCTATCCACCGTTTAAAAGTGTCATCGATCCCGACATAACGGCATAATCAGGCAAAGCATTCCAGACTGCAACCACTCTGTTGTCAAGGTCAAGGCGCGCAGCTCAATTTCAAAGATAAGTGAAGCTCTGCATTTATCTGGATATTCTTAAGTAATTAATGCCTGTTTTTACTTGAGTCCGTTTTAAAAGTCGCCTTTCTATATAAGGTAAAATTTTTTCCCAGTTTGTTTGACAGTCTGGCAAAATAGTCGTATTTTGTAAAAAATCCATTGTAGTGAATCCTTTCCCTACTACCGCTTTCTAGTTTTCGTGGTAAAAAAACAGTAATACATGCTACTCAGTGCGCGTTTCCGTTTCGATCCTTCTTCTGTAACGAAAAACTTTTTTGTCTGTAATGCCCCGCAGAGCACGCGCTAAAAGGCGAAAGCTTGCGGCCTCCCCACCGTCTCTGGGTGCTAAAATCGTGACTGAAGACATGGCAGACGCCAGCTTATGTTCTTCGCCGTCCGCAGATCTGATTAACTCACAAATCCCTTTAGTACATGTAGAAACTCTCGACCCTTCAGTCGTCCAAAAATACGCCTCTGCTAGTCGTAGCAGGCCATCAGCCGGCGAAATAATCGATCAGCTGATTTATGGAGACATCAACAGCACTTCTGAAAAAGTGCTTGAACAAGCTTTTAAACTTATTGGGGTAATAAGTTCTGAAACTGAGGAACGAATTAAACGCAAGCATAATTTCGTACTGCGAAACATTCCGAGCCACTTATCTGCTATGGAGGGAGCGCATTTGTTCCTACAAAGTTGTGGTTTGAGTTTTAGTGTCGCACAAGCTAAACGACTACGCTCGCTTAGCCGTAATGCGCCGATACTAGTTACCCTTTTCTCCATGATAGAAGTCGATTTTATCTTGTCGAGTAGGGAGATGACTAGAGACTTCTGCCGTAAATGGCGCTGCTCCGTTTCGCCAGACCTCACACCCCTGCAGCGAAGACTGAATAAACTGAAATCGGCAAAAACCAACACCAAGATAATGACACCTACTGTCAGTCTGAATAAGTCATCTAAAACACCATCTGCGGCATCTGCAAGTCACGGCATAGTCAATTCCGTAGGGAGTTCGACTACTTTTAATGCTGACCTCTTTAAACACACCACCACGCCTGGTATAAACACGCCACTATCGACTCCCCCAGCAACCCCTAGTAAGCCTAAGCATGTGTCTAAGTCAAAGGCAAATCCAATTGCTGTCTCAGCCGCTCGGACACCCAATAAATCCAGCACCATTGTAAAATCTTTTCCTCCACAATCGGCTAACAGTGCCTTAAATACCCCGACTCAAAACGTACCGGGTTCGCAACTGCCCCCAGCCCTCATATCAAGGCAGTTAGGCCGAATATGCCGATTTTTCCGCCGTTTAATAAAACTCTTGATCCAATGGAAACAATGCGTCCCCCACCCCCTAACTTGTTTCCTCCACGGCCGTTTTACCAATTTATTCCTCATGATAATGTCCTTACTGAATCAGTTAATTCATCCGATCCTCAGTTTCGTCCCGGCGGGAATACGTTGCAGTATCTGCCCCGCGGATTTCCAGCTGAAAATAAATTAGCCAACAATAGTTACCAGCTTACCTGCCCGTCATTCCCTCCCCCAAGTCCTCCCCTTTTTTATCCACGTCAGAATTTTTTGATGCCACAAAATTTTTTGCAGAACCGGATGGTTGCATCCGGACCGTTTGCTCCGTGGGCAGCCCAGAACTGGACGATGTAGCCCACCTCCCTCAGAAACAAACAGCCTTTCCCTTCAAACTTTTTGCTTTAAATGCCAGATCCTTGCTTAATAAGATGCCTTTGCTTCAGACTCAGGTCTTCGTCCATTGTCCTGATATTGTTTTAGTAACTGAGACGTGGGCATCAGCCTCAGTAGCTGACTCCGAACTCTCTCTTCTAGGCTACAATTGCATTCGAAATGATCGCCAAGATAGCCGTGGTGGGGGCAGCTGCGTCTACGTTAAGCAAACACTTACATGTTTGCCGTTGGACCTCCCGCACTTTTCAGCAGTAGAAGGCAGCTGCTGGCTCCAGGTTGCACTAAAAAATAAGTTCTCCTTACTCGTTGGCTGTATCTATCGCCCTCCCAACGCCAATGACAATTTTGATCGTTTACTCTCACAGGCATTTCATGCTGCGGACGACTTAAGCTTTAAGTATCACCTGGTTGCGGGTGACTTTAATCTCCCTGAAGTCCGCTGGTCTCCGCCTTCAGGCCCCAGAAGGTTCGATGACTTTCTTGAGGCTGTGGATGTCGGGATGTGGTCTCAGGTTGTTGATTTTCCCACCCGAGGCTCAAGTATATTTGACCTAATGTTCTGTAGAGGCTGCTTGCCATCGTCGTTGTCATCCCTAGGCCCACTCGGGGGCTCAGACCATGACATAGTTGTTTCAAAGTTGGAATTGGAGGCTGACGAAATGTCGTCCCAAAAGTATAACTTTTTCCGCGATTTCCGATCAACTCGCTCAACCGAATTATTAACTCACCTTAATTCCTACGACTGGACTGAGTTCTTCCTTAGTTCGGATGTAAATGTTTGCACTACAAAACTGTACGAAATTTTGGGTCCGCTTATTTCTCGTTTTGTCCCCCGTAAGAAAATTATTAATGTTGGGGATGAGATTTTCCTACCTTAACCCTTTCGTCGCAGATTGCGCAGGCTTTATCGTCGTTTCCATCTGCAGAACGATGTTTCTGTTCTGCCCTTGATTTGTGTTATTTTTGATCGAGCTAAGAGATTGTCTGAAGAAAAACAGCTAGCCGAAGAGGTCCACTTTACTGAAAACCATTCGTTAAATGTCTCAAAACTTTTCTCTAGAAAAATACGAACTCAGAGAAAGACGCAGTATCCCACCCTTCGAGACGATCTCGGAAATCCCATAGTTGATGCCCAGTTAATCGCGGATAGCTTCAATGATTTCCTGTCCAAAACGTTTATTGAAGACTCGACCACTCCGCTTCCGACCATCCAGTCATTGACCGGGGCAGTTCTGGAAACTATAACTTTCACTCTGTGGGATGTGACCGTTGCGATTCGGCCTTTTCGTCAATCTTATAGTCCAGGCCCTGATGGTGTCCCAGTAAGCATTTTAAAAGCCGATGCAAACACGATCTTCCCATCCCTCTTATGCAAGATATTTAATCTTGCTCTTGAAAGTGAAACTTATCCTACCTTGTGGAAGGAATCACACATTTTGCCTATTCCTAAGCACGGCAAATCTACATCATTTGATGACTTTCGGCCAATAAACACCCTCCCTGCAGTTTCGAAGATCTTAGAGACATTGATCAAAGATAAAATGATGTGTCACTTAACAGCGAACAACTTACTGAGTGTTGCTCAGTATGGATTCCTCAAAGCTCGATCTTGTGACACCTGTCAACTCTCTTTCTTTGACTATGTTCTCCAATCTAGGGACCATGGTTTTGCACTTTACACTGTATATTTCGATTTCACTAAGGCTTTTGACCGTGTTGACCATGCTCTTCTCCTCTTGAAACTGTCCTCTTTCGGAATAGGTGGCAAACTTTTGAATGTTATATCCTCTTATTTGGGCACTCGCACACAACGAGTTAAGATTTCCAATACTATCTCCAACCCCACACGTGTGAGGAGTGGAGTCATTCAGGGTAGTGTACTCGGCCCGCTTTTATTTTGCCTTTTCGTTAATGATGTACCCGATTTATTTCAGAATGGTAAGCCTTTCATGTATGCCGATGATCTTAAAGTTGCATATCGATATAGGCCGGCAGATCATGACATCGTGCTTGAGCTCCTAAAGAGCGATCTACAGGCTTTCGCCCAGTGGTGCCGCACATGGCGCCTTTCTCTTTCTTGGCATAAGTGCTCAGTCATGGTGGTTGGCGACAACCGCCAACCTCAACTAAGTATTGAAGGTCACGCAATAAATGTGCCAGGGGTTATAGAGGATTTGGGTGTATCATACTCCAAGAGTTTCAATCTCTCGGAGCACTGTGCCTTGATAGTCTCCAAAGCACGTAGAACCACCGGGTTTATCCTCCGAAATTTTAAAACTAGGGACATTAGAATGCGCCTTTTCGACATGTACGTTAGACATGGTCTGGAATACTGTTCGTTTTCACTTAGCCTCATGCGTGCTACTGAGCGGAAGAAAATAGAATCCGTTCAACACTTTTTTACCAAGAGAATTTTAACCCCAGAACACCGACATTTGTCATACCAAGAACGTTGCCGGCTTACAGGCCTCGATCCTTTATGGTTCCGTAGATTTCAAAAGGGACTATTTTTGCTATTTAAACTCTTATATAATCACACATTTAACCCACTCACCTCTTTAAGACACCATATCCACCCACGACGTAACAGTCACCGTGAGGTCTTCTTATTTCTGCCTCTGGCACGCACTGTTAAATATTGTCGGTTCTATTCTG